AAGGCAACATTAATGCTGAAAGCTACATGCAGGTTTTGGAGCAACATTTGCTGCCATCCAAACCACATCTTTTTCAGGGACATCATGTTTATTTCAGCAGGACAATGCCAAGCCACGTTCTGCACGTGTTACAACAGAGTGGCTTTGTGGTAATGGTATGCAAGTAAATTACAGGGGGTATGTGGAAAACTTCCCAGATGTGTAAAATAAATAAATAAATAAAAAATTGGACAGAGTCCCCATGATTTCCACAATGCAGAAAATGCAGACGGAATCGTGGAATTGACAAAAAAAATTGAATTCAGTAAAAAAATGTAGGATCTCACGGAAATTKTCTCATTTGGGTGTGTTTCTGTATTTGGGAGAATACAATGTATTTTGGACGCTGCCGCTTTCTGTACCTGCCATTACCTGGTTTATTTATTTAATTACTTATTCACTTTCAAGGCAACATGTTTATCTTTATGTTTAATTTGGAATGAAAATATTGAAATGCTTGAGAATTAAATGTTCAAGTTAAGGTGGTTAAATAAATTATTTTAATTTAATAATCAATAGTTTGGGAGAATCATCATTACGTTTGACTGAGGGGGTACTAGTGGTATGACAAAATGGCTCATGGGGTACACAAGTCTGAAAAGGTTGGGAACCACTAGGCTACTATACCAGCCTGCCTGCAGTCCAGACCTGTCACCCATTGAACACGTGTGGAGCATTATGAAGCACAAAATACAACAACAGAGATCCCGGACTGTTGAGTAACAGTAGTTGTACATCAAGCAAGAAAGTAAAGGAATTCCACCAGCAAAGCTTCAACAATTAGAGTCCTCAGTTCCCAAAACAGAGACAAACAAAGGAAAGGGGATATAAGCAAAAAAAAAAATCTGTTCATTAAAATATTGTCTTTATAGTGTATTCAACTGAATATGGGTTGAAAAGGATTTGCAAATCATTGTATACCGTTTGTATTTATGCTTTACACAATGTCCTAACTTCTTTAGAATTGGGGTTATAGWAGAGCTGGGCGGTATACCGTTTTGTACAKAATACCAGTTTTTATTTTAGTTATATGAATTTTTTGAATACCGGACATTCCGGTTTAAATAGCGGAACGTTTCGTCGCGGCCGCCAGTGAACTGTTGTTTCCCGGGGGACATTTTTCCTTGCTGCACCGCTATGTGCGTTAGCATGCTGATGTTTGGAGCAGCTAGTTGCAGCCGCGGGTGGTGATTCCACTGCTTATACTGACTGACGTTTAAAAAAACATCCCGTTTTCGCCGTCGCTGAATGTAGTAAACACCTCTTCAGTGACGCGCACAGTTAGATTTAACGTGGTTAGTTAATATGGAGACGTTATGCTGATGGAGACTTAACGTGGTTCTATTGTGAAAACCCTGCGGGAAGTAGTTCCTAGTGGAGTTGGAATTGACTGGTGTGCAAGGTGAGTCGTGCTGATAAGCTTTAATAAATAACATAAAACAATAAACCCGATCATAATCTTTTCTTAACCCTCCTCCTTCACGACTGGACCAAAATGTGACTACTGTCTCCAACCACCAGTCAGAGAAGAACAGACACAGAGGAGGRAAACAGCGACACAGACAGAGGTACAGTAAAAGAAAAAAAAGTCAATAAGCAGGGTTTGTACATTTTATCATCAGCTGAGCTGTGATGAAAAGAAAAATACCGTCAAATACCGTGAAACCGGTGAAAATGTTGAAAATACCGTGATATAAAATTTTGATCATATCACCCAGCTCTAGGTTATAGTTAACTGCTTTTTAACCAGGAAGTTCCTGGACATTACAGTCTCCTTTTGAAGGGAGACCTCATTTAAATTCCTGGGTGTATACCAGTCCTTGATTGAAGTGACTCATTTATTGGGCAGCATTACAAATTGTAACAGTCCATTATATTACACAGCTTGTGTTGGCTGAAAAGTGGTGAACAGGCGATGTGCTGTTTGGCAGGTTGGTGTAGGACTGAAGTGAGGAATTTTGGGCGTAAGGACCATGCTGCTGCAGCTGATCCAAGAAGCCCACACACTTGAGTGTGCTCTGAAGAGTGGCCTTGTATAGCCACAGTACCATATACATGCCCGGCTGCATTCAGGAGAACGGAAACGGTGGCTAGGCATTAGATATGGCTGGGGTGCAGGGTGAACCTATTTACAGCAACAACATGAAAACAGATCCTCTGAAACGATGATTCAGCAGCAGTACACCTGACCTTCAGCTACAAGCTGATTTATAGTTTACCCAACAGCACCACCTACTGGCCATGAGATGGGACGTTCATTCCCAGTCACCAAAAGATGCATTTTATTTTTAAATCACAAGATGAAACCAAACTACCTTGTTGCTTGGTTCCAGCTTCAGAGCCTTCCGTAAGGTTTGAATGGCTTCTGTGTATTCGCCTTGCAAAGCCAGTACCTAAAGCAAAAACACACAGAAGTCAGGATGGAAACCAAACATCGTCTGATCAAATGAAACTGAAACAATGAGAGCAAAGCATACCTTGCCCATGCGGAAAAGTGCTTTGATGTTGTCCGGCTGGTGTGCAAGGACTGACACACAGGACTTGAGAGCTGCATCGTAGTGGTCCAGTTTCAGCTGAGAAGCAGCCATGTTGTTTAGACACTTAACTTTGACATCCAGCAACTCGTTCTCTGCCTCAGGGCTGATGTTAACTACCCCAGAAAACAAAACAACAAATAGTAACTAGGTCTTCACACATTACATAGGCAAAACATTTATAATATAAATGTTTTACATTTTTTAAGCATACATTTAGGTAAAAGTTGATTAGTTTGTTGTTTTAGAAGTAAACTTAGCTATCAAAAAGCAGAAAGCTTTTTTACCCGAACATTGAACAAGGAGGGTGTCACCCCCACAACTGCACAAACCGCCTCTTATCAACTGTTTCACCCCCAATATCAACTATGGGGGTACACATTTTGACCATTTGTTTTTCTAACGTACTACCACAATAAAATTCGATATTTTCTTGTACACAACTGAAATACTGTGTTGCGAAGGACAATTCCACATAATTTCTATCTTCCTCCTGCTGTAGGGAGTGAGGGGGAAATTACATCCTACGTTGCGCAAAAAAAAGCAAATAAACAACTGTGGTTGTTTTTGTTTGCACTGAAATTCGAAAAGAATATATATATACAGCGGGTAAAATAAGTATTGAACACATCACCATATTTCTCAGTAAATATAAAGTATTACTGGAGGTGCTAAATGACATGAAATTTTCACCAGACGTCGGTAACAACCCAAGTGATCCATGCATACAAAGAAATCAAACCATAAATGCCCAGAAATGAAGTTATTTGTAATAATGTGGAATGGCACAGGGAAAAAGTA